CCCCCTCCTCTGAATGTGGCCAGACTGTGTTGCTTGCCTGTGAACATAGTGAGGAGGCCTAGGACAGTGGCTATGCCATGCCATTCTGTCTTCACATGCACACAAAAAAAACTCTGCTCCGAACACTATGAAGCAGGGCTCACTGCCAGCCTCTGCGGCAAAAACTGTGACCCGTTGTCTTGCACTCATCCCCTCCAACCCCCCTTATTGCTTGCCCGATATGCTGTTGTGCCCTTGACATGCCATGCTGATTTTGCAGACATTGTCCACTGGATAGAAGAGGACCGATCTCGCAAACCCCCTTGTGCATCCATGCGGAGCAAATCGTGTACGTGCATTGTATGAGCTTTCAAATCTCATGTGGCTGTGCATGTGACAACCCCCTATGAATCGTATACGCAGCGGGTTCACGTCCTTCTCAGCTTGGCTTTGTTGCCTCTCCTTCCGGAACTGCGCGTGTAAATGTCAGAAGCACTAAACTCTTGAATGTGTATGAGTCTGGCAAACGAAGTATTCCATTAGCCCCATGACGGTAAAGGTTTTTGAAATTTTGAGTTGTTTCTAGTTTATTGATCGGGCAAGTTCGTGACTGTGGTCGTTGCACTGCTTACAATCTTGCAGGTGTGGAACAGCCTCAGAAATATGTGCACTCTTTGAAGTTCCAGAAGGCTGCGTGTGCCAGCGCAAGTTGGTGGATGAAATTGAGTGAAGTAGAGTTCTTCATTCAAGAAACCTCTTGAGCTGTTTGGTGGATATAGGTCTTGGAGATGAAAGAGCTGTGGAAGGAAAGGCTGAGGACAGAGACTTAAGAGACTTGCCATGCCAGATGGCATTCTGGTTGTGTGAGGAACTTGAGAATTTCCTGGCGAGCGATGGATGGATGATGTGTCTAACATGGTGGTGAGATTGGGTGTTGTGGTAGCCACCAGGGCCAATGGCATATGGTTGATGTCATGACCTTTCAGAGGAATGAAGGTGGGACGGAAGGAACAGTGGATGGATGGTGTGAAGGATGTGGTGAGAGTGGTTTATCGTTGTGGCGGCCCGTATGTGATTTCTGGTACTCAGCAGAGTGGAGGTGGGAGAATCTCCGATTTGCATGTGGGATCTTCTTGGCACTATTGAAGCTTTCAGATCCATGATGTGTTATGGAGATGGCGGCAGCGCGTCTTCGATTTCTGCACCCAAGTCAACATTCTAATGTCAGCAACTGCAGTCTGGACTGGTGAGTTAGTGTAGCCTGTGGAAGGTGGTGGAGCAGTCAAAACCCCACCATTCATTTAGATGGTGGCGTGTGGTGAAGTTTATGTTTTTCGCGTGGGAACTTGGGAAGTGAATGCCAGTACTCTTGGAAGGTTCAGAACTAGTGGGGCTATATGACAGGAAATACACAGGAGGACCTGATTGGAATGTCGATGGTGCCTAGCAGGGAGAGAGTTTGTCGAAATGAGGTCTGGTAGACGCCATCCACCATATTCCAGCACATTTGTGATTGCTGGCATGGCATGCAGCCAGCCAAAGTGAAGGGCGTTCGTGGCTCAACCCCTACTGTCTTCGGGGACTCTTCCCTGTGCAGTGGAACACAGGGTCATCTTATCTGTGTTTGGGCTGAATATCGAATACAGATACAATGACCCCGTATTCTGTCTGGGAGAGACGATAGGCTCAGTCGGCTAGCTGGTGAACCTACGACTGCTCTTTCGCGTTGCGGATGTCCCCAGGTTGTCATCTTAGTGTGCGCCCCCCCCCCCCCCTTATATGGGTGAGGTTTTATTTGCAGCAGATCGGCGTTCCAACCAAGTACTCTTTGACGAGAGCCATTCGTCTCTGCCATGTATTATGTGCAGCAGCGAGCTCTCATTAACATGCAACAACTGTTTGTGCATGTAACAACAATGGCTTGCTTTTCTGAATACCTAAGGTGATGATCGGTCCAATCTAATGGCACTGTACGTTGAAGTTGTGGACATCATGGAATTCATAGGGGAGGCAAGATCGCTCTGCCACATGATCTTGGTGCTCTATCTCAGCGTTTGTGGCAGCTGTCTCACTACTCTAGTGAGGAAGTCAGCAGGAGAGGATGTCCTCTTTCCTTGCATACGAGCCGAGTGAATGAGGGGCTTCAGAGCAAATGTCACCAACTGTTTGGGGGCTTAGACAAAGAGTGTGGTGCAGAAGTGAAGGCTTGCAACAGTGTGCAAGATGGAGATGCACATGAGAGAGTCGAACGACAGGGAATGATCGTGGAGTCTTTTGTATTCAGGATCAGGTAACGTGTGAACTTGAGCTGTCTTACCTATGATAGGAGTCAGTGCATTGCAGATTGAGATTGGGACGGATCAGGACAAAGGATGAAGGGGCCGCATTGAAGTGAGCTGCGGACAAGATCTGCTCCAGATTCGAAAAACATATTTATTTTCAGTCGTGCTTTACAGCATGACAGATCAAGACTTTTCCCTTTTGTTGTGTGTTTTGTTCATTGGTTTGTTCATTGGTGTCAAACAAGGTTGTTCGAACTCGTTGTCTGGTGCCATGCTTCCACATTCTAAGGAATTGGATACGAGTCGTAGCTCATCTGCCCTCCACCCGTGCACCACTGCTGGGCCCGTTCTCCCAGCCAATTACAGCATCAGGGGCTGCACGTTGCTACATACAGGGGGCACTTGATTTGCTATGCTAGGGCATGAGCAAGGAGCAGGCCCCACTGGTGGTAGGCTCATGGTATGAAAGCATGAAGCTGGCCTTTTGCACCACTAGTTTCATGCTTTCAAAACATGCACATGGAAACAGTGGGGCCTGTGCGTAATTGGGCTCTCCGACTTCTATGCCATGGGAGGAGGTTGTCATCAGGAAAAAAGAGGAGAAGTAAGGCTGGTTCTCTTTGATTGGCACCAATGGCTCTTTCTTTGGTTGGCAATCTGAAGGTATTCGATGTTTCAAAATTTTAATAAAGTTCAGCTCTTGCCACGAGTTGACGAGGTGGGTCGTCGTTCTCTCTCTTGCAGAGAGAGACCACCACCCTCCTTCTAGTAAACAAGGTGGCAGCTGGTTGGCAGGAAGCCCTGGTCGTCTTGGCACACACGGGATGGAAATGCAACCAGGGACGGTGGTTGAATGAAGGCTGTCCCTTCTCTTGTAGAGAGGGACTACCATCTTTCCACATAAGAGGCTGGGTCTTATCTTTGGGCCTTATGACATGTGGTCAACAGGTGCGGGAGAGATGCTGGAGCCAAGTCTGCACAGCTGTTTGTGGAAGTAATTATTCGTACAAACAGTCCATAATGGGTCCAGCTGCGCAGAATGGAAGTTTAGGGAGGGTGGCAAGTGTCTAGATATGAGAAGTCATTCTTTCTTCCAAGTGTTGACAGAAGGTTGGCTGCCTCGACAGAGAGAGGCCAGGTCTTCCTTTGAGATACAGAGCGAGGTTGGGTTCAAGGACTGTATTTGAACCGGGGCTGTGGGAAGTGGGAAGTGCCTTTTTCCGCTGTTGGGGAAGGTAAGGGGGACACGTGGCAGTGGCTGATAAGCAGCACAGTTATTGAGCTCTTTTGGCCACAAGCCAGCAAGGAAGGAAGCAGTTGTACACCGTTGAAGTATGTCTGCTGCGCGACGAAGCAGCAAGTGCATGTTGAAGTTTGCACAGCAGCAAAAGCCGGACTCACCGGTCTTCGACCAGGATATGCCCTGATGTGACCCGTTTCAGGTACGGTTTCTGGTATCCAGATGCTTCTCATTCAAACCACATTTGTACACCCGCTGCAGCAATCAGTGCCTGAGATTGGACTTGCTGAAGTTACCACAGTAAAAATGTAAAGAGTGATGCCCCTAAGATTACAAATCACAGACTTCCCTTGCTGTGGTCCTCATGTTTCTGTCTGTCAGACATCCACAAACAGGCAGAGATTGATGGGCTTGAAAAAAAAAATTGAATCCAGAATCTTCCTATATGGGTGTAAGAAAGCTGAAAGGGGGAGTGGCAGGGGAAAAGAACGATGGGCTTAATAAACGGACTACAAAATCTTCGTAATTTGAAGTAAGAAAGCTTCAAAGGAAGAAAGGGGATGAGAAAGCTGAAAGAGGGAGTGGGAGGGGAGGAGAACGATGAGCTTAATAAACTGACAACAAAATCCCCGTAAATGGTTGTGAGAAAGCTTGAAAGGAAGAAGGGGTGGGGAGAGGGGGAGGAGGAGTGGAAGGAGGAGGGGAAGGGAGTGGGGAAAGGGGGGAGGAAGACAGGGAAAAAAAACAGGAACAAAGAATTTTCAATCATCCGTTAGAATTGGAACGATACAGAGGAGATCAGCATGGCCGCTGTGCAAGGCAACACCCATCGGGAATTAAAACTAACGAAAAGAAAAAAATCATTAGCCCTTCTAGTGGATCCCAAACTTCAACTGCTCTCTCTTCCCTCGTCAGCTCATCCTACTCTTTACAGCTATGAAGAACTCCCTCAACTGCTCTCTTCCCGCGTCAGATCATCCTTCTCTTACTCCCAAGTTTTTTTTTTGGGTACTCGTAGTGAGTGCACTCCGCAGTCTGCGCATCCTACTTTTTTTCATCGTTTTATTCAACTGTCTTTCCTAATACAATCAGACTCGCTTTCATTCACACCTCGCGTGCATGCAAACAGCTTGCGCAGCAAACTGGCGACAAGCGCCCACTCAAAACTCGGAGATATGGTAACCACGAACACAGTTCAGATACAATCTCACTCCAGATGGCTATGGCGCATCAGCGCCTATACAAATCTCTGTTCGTCACTCACACGACGCTGCTGTTCACACACCGGATCACCCTGGATATCCCACACGCGTCACGCTGTGCACGCACACGCACACGCACACACACATGCTACTCCCTTCTAATAGCTATGGCGGCTATGGCCGCTGCTACCCCTATTGCTATGGCTAAGCTCCTTCTCACACTATTCGTCCTCGGGCTCACTGCAGACCACCTCGCACAAGTCGCTGTGGCAGCGGTTCCGCATGGCTTACGCAGGAATGAATGAATGGCTGGGCGCTGCCTCTTGATTTATACTTCTGTAACTCGCTGGTCTTGCTGGTCTGCCCTTTTCCATCGGCCCATGGTGCACACAGTCCCTCATGGTACTTGCTGGACTGGACTGGGACTGACTGGACCGGTACCGCTGACTGCATGGGTTTGCACCGCAGACTCACTGCAGTCGCACTGCYAACGTACTGAGGTTGGCTCCACCACTTGCCCACTTGCCTCTGCCTAAACGTGAGCCCACTCCGAAAGGCCATTTCCGGGACCTTCCGGAAGTCTGTGGACTTGCCTTTCGGGTACTGTAGCAGCTACGACCTTGACCTTTCAGGACTGTAGCAGCTACGACCTTGACCTTTCAGGACTGTAGCAGCTACGACCTTGACCTTTCAGTAGACCTATAGCTACGACCTCTACAGAGCTGTGACCCCTACTCAACAGACCTACAGATCGAATCCCTACATCTGCACAGTCCTACGACAGACAAACAACAACTAACAAAACACAGGTCACGGGTTCAAACATGGAGGAAATACAATCGGAGTTTGATTTTCAGAGTTGTTCAAAAAAAAGAAACAAAGTGACGAGGGCGTGACAAGGAGGAGATGAGATGGAAACGGAAGACGAGGAGGATGAGGAGGAGGAGGTGAGGAGGAGGAGAAATGGACGAGGACAACGACGACGACGACATGATAAGGAGGACAAAATACCATCACAGTTCGAACTTAGAAGTTTCCAGTAAAAACAAAGAAAAAAGTGACGAAACTGGAGAGAGGAGATGGAGAGATGGAGGTGGAAAGATGGACGAGGAGGAATGGAGGAGGAGGACAAGGAGATATGGAGGAGGAGGAGGACGACAACGACGAGATACCATCACAGTTCGAACTTTGAAGTGTCCATAAAAAAAAAAAAATGACGAGGCCGTGACAAGGAGGATGAGAGGTGGAGGAGGGGAGATGGAGAGATGGTCGAGGAGAGATGGAGGAGGAAAGATGGACAAGGAGGGATGGAGGAGAGGTGGAGGAGGGGAGATGGAGAGATGGAGAAGGAGAGATGGAGGAGGAAAGATGGACGAGGACGGATGGAGGAGAAGGACGAGGAGACATGGAGGAGGACGACGACGAGGAAATACCATAACAGTTCGTACTTCGAAGTTTGCATTAAAAAAATAAGTAAAAAAGTGACGAGGCGGTGAGGCGGTGACAAGGAGGATGAGAGGTGGAGGAGGAGAAATGGAGAGATGGAGGATGAAAGACGGACGAGGAGGGATGGAGGAGAAGGACGAGGAGACAGAGGAGGAGGAGGAGGAGGAGGAGGAGGAGATACCATCGCCGTTCAAATTTCAAAGTTTTCTATTAAAAAAACGAAAAACAGAAAGTGACGAGGTCGTGGCAAGGAGAATGAGAGGTGGAAAAGTAGAGATGGAGAGCTGGCGGAGAAGAGATGGAGAGATGGATGAGGAAAGATGGACGACTAAGGGTAGAGGAGGTGATACCAACACAAATCGAAGTTCACACAAGAAAAGGTGACAAGACCTCGACAAGGAGGAGGCCGAGGAGGACAGAAGGAGGAGTAGGCAAGATACACGAGGAGGGGAGGCTGATGAGAAGTGAAGGAGGAAGTGACGAGGAGGAGGAGAGATGGAGTAGGGGACGAGGAGGGGACGAGGAGGGGACGAGGAGGTTGCGGAGAAGACGAGGAGATAGTCCGAGATACTATCAAAGCTCCGAGTACAAGATCCGATACTATGGAAAAAAAAGGAAAGGACAATACCGAGACGAGGAGGAGGAGGAGAAGGAGGAAGGGGAAGATGTGGAGGAGGAGGATGGGGAGGAGGCGAGTTCGAGGGAGGGAAGGAGGGCTGGCGAAGACTCACCTTCGAGGAGGGTTCAAGCCGGCGATGGTCGCTCCAGAGCTCAGCGTCGGTGATGATGCATATGCATGGGGAGGTCGGCGCTGCTCGTAGCGGGGGACTGACGGCGCTGCTTCCCGGAGTGGACGGGAGGCGGCTGCAACACCGAGTAAACGGCCCGCCGAAAACCTGCCAGTATCTACCTGCGAAAACTATGAAAAAGGTACCCCCCACCCAAAATCAAATTCGAAATTGTTTCAGGCCGCGGTTGAGCGCGGCCTGCTAAAATTTTTTTTGGGCTCCAAATCCATTTTTGCTGGGGGGCCAGCCCAGGAGTTTTGGCCTGGGCCTTAGTGCGCCGCGCAGGTCGTGCGCTGCTGGGGTGTGCTTGAGCGCCAACAGTCCACAAATCAGCGCACAATGTGCGCTTGTTCGTGTTCGGTCGCGAATGTTCGCAGATACAGATCTGAGTATGAATTCCGATGGAATCAGATGAGTGAAAACATCTGCGAATTCTCCTGGAGCGGTCAGTTCATAGATGATATCTAAAGGCTGTTGTCATTCTGGCTGCATCTGGACTGAACGTTGCTCTGAATACAGCTATAATAAATGGCCGTCATATTTGGGTGAAAACACTAGTGTGGTCCGATGGACCATGGATCTGGACATGGACTCCGTACATCAACAGCCGAAATAATGTAGTGATGTTCATTGAATTTTATCGGAACTTTTTTCTTTTTTCTTTTTTCTTTTTTCTTTTTTCTTTTTTCTTTTTTCATGTGGTCCGATGGACCATGGATCAGATGTTAAACTGATCAAAGGTTCAGAACAGATACTATCCTTGGCCTTAGCCAAAAGATGAAGCAAGGTATTATTTTTTCACTGTTCATTTCAGCGGTTTTGGTGGACCATGGATCTACTGCCATGGAAATCGATAATATTTCCCTCCCTTCCAGTGATTGGTGGTGATTGGTGAAGCTACCACCACCTGGCGTATGTGTTTGCAACTCTGCGGCCGATTCAGTCCGGTTCTGTGGCTCTTCAGTGGCGTGGCAGACTCACTGCTGTGGCTCATAGGTGTGCGCCTTCGAGCTCTGATCATCGGTTTTGATTGTCTGTGGGTGCGTGCGGTTTGTCTGTGGGTGCGGTTTGTCCGTCGTGGATGGTGTGGCAGGGGCCTGGACGCTGCAGGAGGGCAAGACTATCACCTGAAGGTGGCGGCGACAGATTGACAGTGTGATGGAATTTCGCACCAAGTGATGTAGTAGGGGCACCTGCCCTCTCAACGAAGGGTCAGACGAGTCGCAGGTGGTGAGATTTCTTTGAAGAGTCAGTCCACTAAGAGCTGATCAGTGCGGAGTCTTTTGCTTTGCGCAATTCCTTACCGCTCGACAAGAGGTTTTATGCAGTAGGAGGGTGTCTCACGAACACAGCATCCAGCGAAATGCAAGCGCAGCTCCATAGGAGGAGGCAGCTTTGCTGGGTGTTTAAACGCCTGGCAGCCGCTGAGCACTCTTGGGAAATACCCCTTTCTGTTTCTATGACCTGTTACTCTGTGTTAGGTATCTCCTTGCAGGCCATCTCTTTAGCAGACAAAGGTTAAAGGTCTGTCGGAGGATGAGGATGGAGCTTTGCTGGGTGTTCGAGAGCCTGGCAGCTGCTGAGCACTCTTCGGAATACCCCTTTTCCGTCTCTGTGACCTGTCACTCTGTGTTAGGCATCTCCTTGCAGGCCATCTCTATGGCAGACAGAGGTTGAAGGCGTAGTAGCCACCGGAGGTTGAAGGCCGAGTAGCCACCGAGCTCGTGGAGCTTTGCTGGGTGTTCGAGAGCCTGGCAGCTGCTGAGCAATCTTCGGAATACCCCTTTTCCGTTTCTGTGGCCTGTCACTCTGTGTTAGGCATCTCCTTGCGGGCCAGCTCTATGGCAGACAGAGGTTGAAGGCCTAGTAGCCACCGAGCTCGTGGCGCTCTCTTTGTCGTATTACTACCTGATGTTCTGTGACTGCTCGCAGGGCAGCTTTTTTAACCGTGGTCACTGGTCACTCATTTTGGTTAGCTGGCCGTTTATTGTACGTCATCGTTTTTTTCCTTTCTTCTTTTCTTTCCGTCCACGGGGCTGTCTCTTCTTTCTAAGTTTCTTGTGACTCGAATTCTTCGAGTTCCTTTTGCTATCAAGGTCATATTTGAGAATAGGGGAATTAAAGAAAGTTGCCATCCTCAGCAACCCTTTGGCACCCTGTGGACTCTCGACTAGAGAATCATAAAGATTGCTTCGCGTGGCGCGAACATCGCAAAGGCCTGCACTGGCATGAGGTTAGTTTGACTCTCCTATCACTCTTTTTCTCTGACTGATTCAAATTTGTTGGCTGCTTGGCAGATTGAAATTTGCACAACCCTTGAGGAGGTGTGCTGCAGAGTGCGACTAGGTGCTCCCTTCCTCCCGTTGACGGTCCCAATGTCACGACCGAGTGAAAGAAGATATGGTCATCAGAGCACTCGTGTCGGTAAGTACAGGTGTGATCCCGCTAGGTGCAGAAGCTTCATCTGATGGCCTTTTTTTTTTGCCTAACGTTCCCACTGCGCGACTTCGATACTTTATGGTGGAAGGTTATGTACCTGTTTTGGCTGGGAAACGTGTGCAGAAAAAAACTGAGGGGACTAATCATGTAATACGAATACGGTGGCGCTCTGTCGGTCAGGGGAGACTATCAAGCAGCAGCAATACTCGATAAGTTCAGCGCCTCGAGAAAGCAGGTAGGGACCCATGGTCACAGAGTCCATCCAGTCTTGCAGTAGCGCGAGCCGCGTGAGTCCAGTCTTAAAGGGTTTTTTCAACTTTTCTTTGTATCTGGATTCGAACTTGGGTCTGTATTTCAACAGGCTTGTTTGTGAAAACTCGAACTTTTGATTGTTTGCAAATGTGATGTTTGTTTACTGCGAGATGCGCACGCTTTCGGTGAGGGGGAAGCCCTTGCCTCAAGAGAGGGTGCATGCTGGAGTGGCTGTGCGCGAGTGGCTGTGCGCGAGCGACTCTCTACAGGTAGCTTCGAGGGTGCTGTTTGCGATGTGCAACAGCCAAGAAGAAAGTGTGATTATGGGTGTCCTGTGCCATTCTGGGTGTCCTGCGCCTCTGCGCTCCACAGTAATGGGCTGGTAAACAGCGGCTTGCGAGTCTGTGCTCAACTGTGATGGGCTGGAAAAGCGCAGTATCCAGCAATGCATTTGGAGCTGTTTGCGTCATGCAATAGCTGAGAAGAAGTGTGGTTATGGGTGTCCTGCACCTCTCCACATAACGGTGACGAGCGGGTAACGTGCGGCTTGCGACTCTCCGCTGAACGGTCATGGGGCTGGTAAAGTGCGGTATACAGGAATGTAGTTGGGAGGAGTGGTCGATTACTGATGCTCTGTTCGTGTGCGTCCGTTGTGCGGGATGACTTACACTATTACAGGAGAACTGTGGGCGAGTAATTTGCGGTAAAGGTATTCTTCTCTTGCTCTTGACACTATACTTCTTCAGAATGGGGATCTACTTAGTGAGTTTACTATACATGGCGCGGAATATAAATGGGGATGTGGGGTGGTGATCAGACTGCGATAACCAAACGTCATTCCTCCCCTGCGGCGACTGTGGGGAGCAGGAATTGAGGAGAGAAGGCAATTCCGATATCTGAATTCAGAGACGAAAGGACTTTGTGGTGGGTTGGGGTGGCTGATTTTGGGCTATTCGGCCTTTGTAAGGGCATTACGATTTGCATTTTAACTTCAAAATTTGGATGCTATTACCGTGTGTTAGTGTGCAGGTCGTTGCCCAGCCATGTCGTGCGCAGATGTTCATACTGGATGATGATGGCCCGCAGTTTGGCGCACAGCTCGTTGGATGGTTGATTGTGAGATTTGCATTACGCTGTGTGCCACAGTCAGCTTGCACTTTGCTCTCCCTCGTTGCCCTTCCTTCCTCGCGGCTCTTGCAGTTAGCGCTTTTTTTTTCTTTTTTTTTTTTTAAATAACAATTTCAGGGAACTTAATGTGAACTCTTGGAAGAATAAGTCAATGCATATGATTGACCAAAGGGGTAACTACGTACGTGATGATGGTTCATTGCAAGATTTGCTTTGCGCTATGCACCTCAGCTTGTCCTTTTGCTTTCTGTGCTTGTTTGTGTTCCGCTTTCTGGTGGTTCTTGCACGTTTACGGCAATTTGAAACGACTATTATGGTCCACAACTCTTAATGGACCAAGTCAACACATGGGATTGACCGAAGGGCTCTCGCCATCAGTTTCTTAGATGCCATTACGATGGTCGTTTAAAAAAAAAAAACAATTCAAAGACGAGAGAAACAACGACGCTTGCCGGTAATAAGCATCCGGACTGTTGGCCCCCAGATCGGGAGGGGCGTGGTTTGGAAAAAAAAAAAACAAAAAAAAACGAAGAGATCAGTATCAGCATCCATGCCACATTTGTATGAGCCACAGTCACCGGTAAGTCTGCCTGAGCTGTGTATGTATGTCTGCCTGAGCTGTGTATGTATGTCTGCCTCAGTGATGAGTATGTCTAAGTCATGCTAAGTCATAGGTATGTCTGTAGAGGACAACCAACGACAGGCAGAGAGGGAGAAGAGGGAGAAGAGGACAACAAACAACAGGCTGTGACCAACTGTTTCATCGGAGTTTCACCGACTAGGGTTCGGCCTGCTGATGAGTCGGTGATACTCCGATGAAACAGTTAATCACAGCCCCTCGTTTGTTGTCCTCTTCTCCCTCTCTGCCTACGGTTTACCAGGCAGCTCTGTTTGACATATATATATACCGACAGTCTGTAGAGTTTTCCATCTGGTGTGGGTGAGTGATAGTGTACTTTGATTTTGGTTAAGGTGGATTATCACTTACAGTGTAATCAGTGAGGGGATTCTACAGACTGTTGAGGGTTCAGCCT